TTATTTCACCCTCAGGCCATCCAAGATGTAGATGAGTTGGTTTCCTCATCAGATTTGGAGAAATGTAGCATTACATCACTTGCTCACCAATGGATCGTCTGCAGTGAATGGGTGCCGTCAGAATGAGAGTCCAAACAGCTAATAAAAACATCACAATAATCCACAAGTAATCCACACCACTCCAGTCCATCAATTAACGTCTTGTGAAATGTTTGTAAGAAACAAATCCAACATTAAGACGTTTTGGCCTCAAACCATTGCTTTTGGCTAAAATATGAGTCTCTATCCATAATATCGCTTTCTCCATTGAAAAGGTCATCTTGTCTGAATCAGGAGAGAAATATGCACAGATCAAGCTCCGTTTACAAGCAAAAACAGTCCAAAACAGTTCTGAACAAATATGTGGGTGGATTTTGATGTGAGAGACAACAGGAGATGGAGTTTTTCACTGGAGGAAGCGTTATTATGGACTCACATTTTGGCTAAAAGTGATGGTTTATAGTTAAAACGTCATCATGATTGATCTGTTTCTTACAAACACACAGCTTTTCATTTCACAAGACATTAACTAATGGACTGGAGTGGTGTGGATTACTTGTGGATTATTGTGATGTTTATATCAGCTGTTTGGACTCTCATTCTGACGGCACCCATTCACTGCAGAGCATCCATTTGTGACCAAGTGATGTGTTGCTACATTTCTCCAAATCTGTTCTGATGAAGAAACAAACTCATCTAAATCTTGGGTGGCCTGAGGAGTAGGCCTACATTTTGAGCAAACTTTCATTTTGGGGTGAACTGTTCCGTTAAAGGTACAGTAACAAAAAAGCCTGTTTAATTCTGTCATAGAATGGAAAATGGTCATGAAATACTAAATGATGATTTTTTTGGTGCTGGCTTTATTAATGGAAACAAGATTAGAAAATTAGATTGTAAAATTGTCGGATATGGCCTCTTTAACCTTGCTTCAGGCTCTTTAAACCAGGACATGAAGATTTGATGTGCATCAGAAGCTAAAATGAAGCAGATCTCTCAGATTAAACATTAGCATGCATGTTCGCTCAGTTTTACTCCATTTGATTAGACAATATGGTTCAACAAGATCTTGTTTTAATAAAAGACTGTCATTAAATATTAACTTTCATCATGCAGCAATGTACCAAAATCACAGTGATGGACAGATCAGCCACTGTGAGGAAAATATAAAGAGAGAGGCAGAGTAATGAAGATGGCAAATGGTCCCATCTGCTATTCTCATTACGGGTTTCTTAATGCAATCTGATCTCTGGTATGACTGTTCCCGGGTCATCTTGACACCTGTGCCTTTGATTTCATGTAGAAAGGGACACTTGCGAATTGATTGTCCACACTGACCTGTGATTCTTTATATCTGATTGAAATATCTAGCATGATTAAGACTGCAGTCAAAATCTGAGATTTCAATATGAGCCATCAATGTATTTGTATCCATTTTTTAGTTCTGCTAGGGATATTTTGGAGATAAAAGATGGATATTATTATTGAAACAAAGGTGCTGATGTTTCATGAAGCATATGGTGGCTACCATTTGCATGTTTTTTGTCTGCCATAAATAACACAAAATGGGAATATAGGACTCAAAATGAGAGACCGCCTGAAATTACGGAATTTTTGACAACTCTTGAGACTGAATCTCTCTCTCTCTCTCTCTCTCTCTCTCTCTGTCGTTTACTGTTAGTATTGACCGTGATCTCTGTTCCACCTCAAAACTTCACCAAGAAATATCTCAACACAATTTACACAGCATGCAATTGATTTATGGAGCAATAACATGTCTGTGCATCTCTCTTTGTGTGTGGGTCTCTTTAGGCTTTCCTTAGAATTGAGAATAAAAGCATGAAAAGTGTCTTTCCAGTTATGAAAAGCATTTTTCACTAGCTTCGAGAAGTCTGATTCATGTTAGTGAATCAGTTCGTTTAAATGGTTCATTTATTCAAGCTCACTTAAACTGGAAAATGGCAAAGTGTCATAACATTAATCCTGTAAAGCCTGACATATGAAATAATAGTCAGAAATGTATTTATTTATTTATTCTTTTATTTATTTAGAAACTAGAATGTTTTATTGAATGTTACGTTTTCTGTTTGCATGTGAGCAAACAGAAAACGCTGCTACTTTTAATACGTCTGCCCCAGATGACACTTCACCAGTCAGGTCTAGGTGCAGCTGTCACAGAACATGCCACAGCCAAGGTGAGTTATTAATATTTAAAATCATGTGCATCAATCGGAGTGTCCGGTGGCTGTAATCAGTGAGAGAAGTTGAGGCAGATGCGATGCTTAGAGGACGTGTGCTTATTTATGGATCAAAAAGAGGAAAAACTATATAAGGTAAGGTTGCAAATAGGCAGGCTAGTAAGAGTAGAAGGAGGGGCAGATTGTCTGTTTGCTCACATGCATGAATCGGAGTGTAAACGGCGAGAGATCTTGAGGCATGTGAAAAGCGTTTGGTTAAGGGTGAATATTGACCTATTGTGCATATGATTGTATGCTGTTAGCAGGGAATAGTCGCTGCATTTGCGGTAAAAACGACGGAATTAAGGTGCCAAGAATATAAGGAGACCTGGGTTGCACTGTCTGTTCGTTCACATGCATCTGTCGAATTGGCAGCTGTCTTTAGCGGAGCCTTTACCGATTACCTCCATTGTTCGCAGCATTCGGCACAATTATCTGTGAGTGATGTCACTTCCCAATACAAACACGCCACATAGTTTAGTCCCGCCCCTGACACTGATTAACAGGTCTCTGTGTAAGACATCGAAAATTCAAATGCTAAAGGAATTGCGATTCCATTTGAGTTTCAGCAGGTTACATGCACGATGCAGAGAGAGTGAAAAAGCAGATGTGGTAATTAATATTGTTATTGAAATATGACAGGCTCATAACTCGTAAGACATGGGAAATACAGTTCAAATGGACTTTGCTTTTCCATTTGAAATTTGGCAGTCACTGTGCATTCATGAAAGCAAAAATGCAAACGATGATGCAAGATTTGCAATTGCTTTTGGCTTATGTCACAATTTAAATGTCTACATATGGAAAATGCAATTGAAAATACAATTTGCAATTCCTTTTGAAAACTGTCCGGAATATCCTTCCATAAAAATGTCTTTGTAAGATGCTATTTAAATACTTAATTTTATGATCAGAATCAGAATCAGAAAGAGCTTTATTGCCAAGTATGTTTGCACATACAAGGAATTTGTTATAGTGTCACAAGCTTCCAGTACACGGAGACAGAAGATGACAGATGACAGATGATCAAAGCTCTATAGTTTCAAAACATATAACACAATGCAATACAATCATGATTGACAGATGAACAAATAAATGTTCCTCAAAAGCCTGATGATCATATTTGATGATCACATTTCAACCTGATTTCTCAAGTTATTTTCAAGTTATTCTTACATTTACTTTATACAAATCGGTAAAAAGACATGTGAAGCACAAGCTGAAGGTGGACATTTTTACAATTATACATAAAGGCCTTTTACTCGCTAAAAAAAAGTTTAACCTATCAATCAGATGACAGAAGGAATGTAGTAGATTGTGTGCAATAGGTTTTTCACCAAAGTTTTGATCATGTTGATCATTTTGGCACCTTAGAGATTTGCATATCAAACATGATACAGTAGGTTTTATAGGTTTAAACACTTCAGCTGTAGATGACAGTGACATAAACCTCTCAACCCTCCCGTCTCATGACCTTGAGGTAAGCAGCTCTGGTCAGGGACGCCATTACTGTCCAATTAGATGGCCAAAGATTCACCTTCCAGAGGAAGACGGTGAAGTTTCCCGGTGTCCTCTAACACAGCAGGGCTCGAATACGAGATGAGAGTGTGTGTGTGTGTGTGTGTTGAGAGTGTGTTGTAGTGACCTCTAAAGCCTCTCAAGTCCATGAACAGAACCTCTGCCCCATTAATACTTAATGCAGCACCTTGTCTTGACCTCCGTCTCCGAGTGCCTTTTATCGCTCGCTGGCTGAGATGACTTCTCAATAACCGCATGAAATCAAGGCCGTGATGTGATGGATGTGGGGTATAAAGGGTAGTTAAGGCAAGATACTTCAGGCAAAACCATTGGTTTTTCATGCACTGCTCAATTTTGAGATTTTGCTTCTGTAACTTGTCTTGTTTTAGGCTAATGGAAAGAAAACATCCAAAATACATATTTAAGTGTATTGCGTATGTATACTTCAATTCATACGGCTGCTGAAAATTCAGCTTTGCATCACATGAATAAATTACATTTTAAATTATATTAAAATAGAAAACAGGTATTTTAAATTGTAATAATATTTCACAATATTGCTGTTTTTACTGTATTTTTTCGATCAGATAAATGCAGCCTTGGTGAGCAAAAGAAATGTCTTTTAAGAACATGAAAAATATTTGTATGTCTTTTTAGCTTTAATGTTTAACTTTTCAAGACTAGAGGAAAGAAAATGTCCAAAATACACATTTAAGTGCTATTTATAGTGTAATCTATTTGACTTCAGCAGCACTTACATACACCAAACCTCACAGTTTTATTCCTATCTATATTTTGAAGGCTTTTACAGAGGTGTTTGTTCATATATCATTCGCCTGGTTTATCCTTCACATTTTTTTATTGTGTTTTCTGCTGACTTGTAAAATATATTGCAAGTGTTATACAAGGATGCAGGGCGTCTGACAGGAAATGAAATGAAAAAGTAATACACCAAACAGTCCAAGTCCAAAACATTCAAACCGTTCCCCCATCCGCCTGATTTATATTATATTTTATTCCTAAAAATATGTTGAAAATTGATTTTTCCCCCCCCCCCTGATTTATTGTTAAAAAGTTGATGTTTTCTGATTTCTGGAGTCATAAAAAGAGATCCAAAATCGCCTCTGAACAAAACGTCAACTCTAATATGTCAACAAAATGAAAAAGGAATGTTTTCATTAATAACACTTGCTGTGTCTATCTTTATAGGGCATTATGGGAAAGAAAACTTCCGCAGTGGTCACGACATTCACAACTTTATCTCCTCCGGCTTTGTGACGCTTGGCAGGGGCCATGTGAAAGGTAATCACACAACAGCAAAAACATTGATAATAATCAGAAATGTTTCTTGAGCAGCAAATCAGCATATTAGAATGATTTCTGAAGGATCATGTGACACTGAAGACTGGAGTAATGATGCTAAAAATACAGCTTTGCCTTCGCAGAAATAATGTTAAAATATATTAAAATAGAATAGTTATTCAGTTATTTTAAATTGTAATAATATTTCACAATATTATTGTTTTTTATGTAGCTTTAATTTATTTTAAATTTTTTTCAACATTTGTTATTTTTATTAAAGTTTGGGTTTTAGGGTTTGGTGTTTTTTATTTTATTATTATTTTAATAAATTTTTTTACAAACGGATATTGTAAAATTTATTATTATTATTTATTAATATTTATTTCAGCTTTATTTCAAGTAACTTTTTCAGAAAAGTTACTTGAAATAAAGCTGAAATAAATATTAAATAAATAATTATAAATATTTAAAAAAATTGTAGATGTAGTTTTAGGAGTTTTAGTATTATATTGAATTATCTTTTATTTTTATATTTAATTTTAATTTGATTTTAGATTTTTTAAAAATTATATTTTATTCATTTTTTTACAGTTCTATTTAGCTTTCATTTATGTTTAGTTCAGTTTTGGTTTTAGTCATTTTAGTACTTATTTCAGTTATTTATTATTATTAAATTATTTCAGTTGCCAAATAACATTTCCAATTTTTATTTTTCAGGTTTTTAGGTTTTTTTGTTTGTTTGTTTTTTACCAAAGTTACAAATAAAAAATAAATATTTAAAAATTGTAATTGTAGTTTTAATTAACATAACACTGTTTGATAACATTTAAGCACGATTTTTGATGCTCAATACTTGTTGAAACTGTTTATATGAATGTCTTCACTTTTCAATCACTCACCTCCAAAAAGAAGTATAAAGATTAAAAGCCCCCGTATGTCTTTTAGCCGTGTTTCATTTGCCGAGCACATGTCCTAGAGGGAGATTGAGCTGTTGACAGCGCAGTAATGACGTTTCCTAAAGCTAATTAACAGACTGAGGAAGCTTGTCGCAAAGAAAGCAGCTGCCAAGTGTCTGTGGCCTCGTCTCCGCTCCTCATTGTCTCTACTGAGTGAATCACCGCAGCCCACATAATGCAGCATAATCAGCATGCCACGGGCCGATTGTTAACACTACAACAACATAATCCACCCGCTTCCACTTTCATAAGCAATAACATTTAGATTAATGACCGTCAGAGGAATATCGGTGACATCACACATTATTAATTTGATGCGAAATACCCGCTAATAAAGGATGTCAGTTTGTTGAATCATCTCTCCATTGAGCATGATTCAGATGATGCATGATTCAGATGCGACTGTAAAAGAGGATCAAGTTAATACCCTCACGTGCCGCGCTTCCTCAAGGTGAAAGAGTTTAATAAGTTGCTTAAGTATTTTTTGCTTATTCAACTTGGCTCTGAAGCCCTGTGGTTCATGCAGATTGGCCTTAATCTTCATCCTGTTTAATTCCACCTGATTGAATTTCTTTACAGATCCTCTCCAGAGGCGATGGAGCTGCCCGCTCGATCTGCTCCTCAAACTCTCCGCTGATTTTAGCTGAAAGCCTGTTAAAGTCAACGTGAAATCAAAAACTGAGCCGCTTTACTTTCTTAACCCTTTGAGCGGTACGAAACTGTGCTTTTGCGCTTTAGCTGGCGCTGAGCCAGAGAGAGACACGTGCACTGCGCTTGTCATATTTTCACAACTATGCAGTGTTTTAACCACATAATGTTTATTTTAGGTTTCAGACATTTAAATACACACAAGTACTAGTAAAACAATACATTTAGAGTTTGTAAAATACACACATATGTCTATGGAAGCAACAATAACAATCCATTCAAATGTAATTTGCCGGTTTACATTAATATTTGAATATTAATTTAATATTAATATTTTTTTTTTGACATTTTTAATGTTTTTTTTTAATGTGGTTTATACAGATGTATGGTTTTTATTAATTTTTTAATCAATTTTTATTTTTATATTTTCTGTTTTCATTTTAATTTTAGTTAAAGTTTTAGTAATTTAGTTGTGTTTTTGTCAGTTTAATTAATTTATTTTGTATTTTTTAAATACGTCTATAAAGTTTTTAATAAATTTTTATTTCATTTTTTGTTTTAGTTGTTTATCTTAGTACATAGTAGTATTTAGTTCAACTAGCTGAAATAAAATATGTTTTTTTTTGTATATATATTTAATTTTATTTCAGTTAACATTCTTTTTATTTCAAGTAACAAAATGTTATTTTATGGTTTTGGTTTTAATTTTAGTTAACTATAATAACCCTGATATATCTTTATCACTATATCCTGTTGATGAGAGAGCTATTTTAGTATTACTTATATGCTATTATATTATTAATATTTTGAATTAGCTTTTATTTTTTATTTTAAGTTTTCATGTTAAGTTTTAAAAATACAGTTTAGAAAGTTTAGCTAAACTAAAGTTTTAAAAATGTTGTTATGCACTTTTGTCACTTGTGTTAGTTTTTTATATATTTCTTTTTTATTGCAATATGTATATTTTATTTTAACTACTTCAACTTAAAGTTTTCACTTAGTCGTCAAGCAACATTTATAAATTTCATTTAAATTTAGGTTTTGTTTTTATTCTAATACATACAATATATATATATATATATATATATATTTCCGTGCCCCTGGGAGTACGGTCCCACATATGGGATTGTTATTTCCGTGTCCCTGGGAGTACGGTCCCACATATGGGATTGTTATTTCCGTGTCCCTGGGAGTACGGTCCCACATATGGGATTGTTATTTCCGTGTCCCTGGGAGTACGGTCCCACATATGGGATTGTTATTTCCGTGTCCCTGGGAGTACGGTCCCACATATGGGATTGTTATTTCCGTGTCCCTGGGAGTACGGTCCCACATATGGGATTGTTATTTCCGTGTCCCTGGGAGTACGGTCCCACATATGGGATTTAGAACGTTCGGTGACGTCACATAACTGCCAAATTCAAACTGTGCTTTTGCGCTTTAGCTGGCGCTGAGCCAGAGAGAGACACGTGCACTGCGCTTGTCATATTTTCACAACTATGCAGTGTTTTAACCACATAATGTTTATTTTAGGTTTCAGACATTTAAATACACATAAGTACTAGTAAAACAATACATTTAGAGTTTGTAAAATACACACATATGTCTATGGAAGCAACAATAACAATCCATTCAAATGTAATTTGCCGGTTTACATTAATATTTGAATATTAATTTAATATTAATATTTTTTTTTTGACATTTTTAATGTTTTTTTTAAATGTGGTTTATACAGATGTATGGTTTTTATTAATTTTTTAATCAATTTTTATTTTTATATTTTCTGTTTTCATTTTAATTTTAGTTAAAGTTTTAGTAATTTAGTTGTGTTTTTGTCAGTTTAATTAATTTATTTTGTATTTTTTAAATACGTCTATAAAGTTTTTAATAAATTTTTATTTCATTTTTTGTTTTAGTTGTTTATCTTAGTACATAGTAGTATTTAGTTCAACTAGCTGAAATAAAATATGTTTTTTTTTGTATATATATTTAATTTTATTTCAGTTAACATTCTTTTTATTTCAAGTAACAAAATGTTATTTTATGGTTTTGGTTTTAATTTTAGTTAACTATAATAACCCTGATATATCTTTATCACTATATCCTGTTGATGAGAGAGCTATTTTAGTATTACTTATATGCTATTATATTATTAATATTTTGAATTAGCTTTTATTTTTTATTTTAAGTTTTCATGTTAAGTTTTAAAAATACAGTTTAGAAAGTTTAGCTAAACTAAAGTTTTAAAAATGTTGTTATGCACTTTTGTCACTTGTGTTAGTTTTTTATATATTTCTTTTTTATTGCAATATGTATATTTTATTTTAACTACTTCAACTTAAAGTTTTCACTTAGTCGTCAAGCAACATTTATAAATTTCATTTAAATTTAGGTTTTGTTTTTATTCTAATACATACAATATATATATATATATATATATATACAAAATGTTGTGGTTGGTATGATTTTACTGGATTTTAAAGAAATCGTGCTCACCAAGACAGCATTGATTTGATCAAAAATACAGTAAAAACAGTCAAATTTAGATTTTTAGAAGTTTTAGTGTTATAACAACTCTGGTCAATTACATTTAAGCACAGCTTTTGATGCTTAATACATGCTGAAATGATTTATATTAATATGAAGGACTGTTTGATGTTGACTTTATACTTACGGACGGTGTGTTCTCTGTGTCTGTGTGCATAGGTTAGCGTGAGGTGTGTTAATGTTTGTGTTTCCGCAGGGCAGCACTCTGTAGATGATCTCGGGCAGCTGTCCTGGCAGGGCGAGCTGGACGTTCCTCTGTCCTACAGTATGTATCGTGCTTCAGACACCACACACATGCTCCTCCTGCTCACAGGTGACCTTTGTGCTCTACAGAACTGCTCTTTAGATGTTCCAGGATCTGTTGGAACCGAAACAACTGAGTGATAAAGGCTGCTTTTGAGCAGAGGAAAAACTTGCAGCAAAAATGTCCTAAAATCAGGCATCAATAAGCAAGTTCATTTTATAAGAAGCCTTGAATATTAAACTAATTTGGCGCATCTTTACGAACACTTAAACCAAAATGTAATCTGATTTCAAGGATAATTTATTTATTTATTTATTGCAATTTATATGTGTATACTACCATTCAAAATTTCGATTTTTTATGTTTTTTAGAAAGAAGTCTCTTCTGCTCACCAAAACTGCATTTGTCTGATCAAAAATACAGTAAAAACAGTAATATTGTGAAATATTATTACATTTATTACATGTTTTCTTACATTGTAACATTTGAATGAATATATTTTCATATATTGTAAAATAATTTATTCATTATTCAATTTATGCAAAGCTGAATTTTCAGCATCATTACTCAGTCTGTTTGATACAGACATCTTTTGTAACATTATAAATGTCTTTACTGTCACTTCTGATCAATTGAATGCATCCTTGCTGAATAAAAATAATTTCTTTAAAATTATTTTTTTTGGCTGTTTTTAGTTACTTACCATATTGCATTTTTAGTTAGTTTGTTTGTGTATTTATTTATTTATTGCTGTTATTTTTCATTATTTTATTTTATTTTTGCTTGATTTTGGGACATTTTTTCTATCTTTAAGTATTTTGCTGGTTTCAAAGTGTTCATTTTTGCAGTGTCCCGTCTAGAAGACATGCTGAGATGTTTTGTCAGATTTCTATTCGAGGAAAGATTTGAATCTTGCTCAAATTGAATGTTGGGTTTTGTTTATTGTGTGTGTATTTGAGAATGATTTTGACATTAACAGATGTGACATGTAGTGTTTTATAGTTTGATTTTAATCTGGGTGCTTGTAGGGTAAATGGCGTTTTTGTGTTTGGAAAGCAGTGGTTCTGCTTCAATGTGTTCCCTTGTGCTTCATATAAACTAACTTTTTGATTTATTTCACCTCCTGCTCCAGCAGAAGCAAGTTTGTTGTTCGTTCATTTCTCGGCGTTTTTCCCAGTACAGTATCTCTAGGTTATTAATGACTGTTGTTGCGGATTTCTCCTCGCTGTTACCATGGTGATCCTTTTAACTACTGTAGCATATAATTCAACAACAGCGTTTGACTCTGAACCAGCAGAAATGCCTCTTTGTTCAAAGCATGGGATTTTCCTCTGACCTGCGTTAATTAGAGCTTTAATTATACAGCAAACGTTCAACAAACATTATTAGTGCTGTTTGCAAAAGCTATGGCTCATACTTACAGTTAATGATTGCAGCAAACCCCTGCGTATTATGCGTTTGTGCTACGAACTGTTGTTGAGGAAAGTTGTGCTGTTGCTTTTCCTGATGCCAGTAAACCATGCAGAAAATCACTGACATTTGCATCAGAAAGTGTCTAAATGTAGTTTAGTTTTACACGATGTTCTCATTTATTTTCTGCATGCATGTGTGTGTTGTTTTAGTGTTGTTGAGATAATACTATAACTATTACAGTTTTTAATCATATTTTGAATCCATTTGTATTTTTAGGTTTTTCATTTAAATTTTAAAGTTTTTGTAATTTTGTTGTGTTTCTGTCATTTTTATTATTTGTTTAATGTCTATATAGTTTTTTGTAATATTTTAAATACATTTTATTTGTATGTTTTGCTTTCATTTTAATTTTAGTTAAAGTTTTAGTAATTTTGTTGTGTGTTTCTGTCATTTTTATTAGTTTTTTTTTTAAATATGTCTATATTTTTATTTATATTTTGAGTTTATATTTTTTGTTGTAATTTTACTTTTAAAGTTGTGTGATTTTGTTGTGATTTTGTCTCTTTTTTTTTTACATATATCTATAAAGTTTTTATTAAAGGGGTCATATGATGCTGCTAAAAAGAACATTATTTTGTGTATTTGGTGTAAAATTGTTTTTTTATTTTTAATTCTGTTTTTAATTTAATTTTAGTTTAAGTTTTAATAATTTTGTTGTATTTTTGACATTTTTTATTCATTTTATATATTTTTTATTTGCATAGTTTTTATTATTATTTCAAATTATTATTATTTTTTTATTTTCGGTTTTTGTTTTAATTTTAGTTGGTTTTAGTAATTTTGTGGTAAGGTTTTTGTCATTTTTATTATTTTTTGTTATATATGTCTATATAGTTATCATTCATATTTTATTTTTATTTTATTGTTTAATATTTGCCTTTTTTAATTCTATTCTTTTTTGTCTGTACAGTTATTATACTTTTTTTATTTCACTTTTATTTTAGTATACCTCAACTTAAACTAAATGAAAATGAAAAATGATGCCTTGGCAATTAGCTGAAATAAAGTTTTTTTATTTTTTATTATTATTATTAATTAATTTATTTCAGTTAAAATTTTATAACATTGTACAAAATTTGATTTCAAGTGAAAAGCGTTTTTTATGGTTGTAGTTTTAGATATCTTTAATAACCCTGGCATACACGTGTTCATGCATTGCAGGTCAAGTGAGTCCCATTGGTCCAGTCTGAGCTAATAGACTGTTTTACAGCTGTTGTGTTGTAGATGCGTTTCGGCCGTCCGTAAGGACTCTGTGTGTAATCGCAGCAGATTTTCAGTGACCCCGCGAGCAGGAAGGTAATATCTTTGGCAGTATTTCAGCTCAGATGTTATCCGCAGCTGAAGCCTCGCACCTGTTTTGACGTCCAAACAGACTGTGGCGTTTCAGAGATCAGTGCCGAGGAGCGGTCAGATCCACTTAGACGTCAGACACAAACAGCTGCCTGTCACTATGAGCTGACTGACAGGCTCTGTGCAAAGTCGAATAACCTTGCCTAAGCGCGTAACGCCGTTCACATCAATCATCTGTAGTGAAGGCGACACTTGATATTTTGAACGTCGTGACAATTTCCACATCAAACGCATAAGATGAAGCTCCACGAATGCCCTTTAACTCTTAAAGGGTTAGTTCATCCAAAAATGAAAATTAGTCCATAAATTACTCAAGTCATTCTAGGTGTATATGACTTTCTTCTTTCAGACGAATCGAGTCGGAGTTATATTAAAAATTGTCTTTGATCTTTCAAGCTGTTTAATGCCACTCAGCAGGTGTTGCATGCATCAGTCCAAAAGAAGTGAAATAAAAAGCACCCATCCATAAAAAAAAGTGCCTCACACGGCTCCGGGGGGTGAACAAAGGCCTCCTGTAGCGAATCGATGCGTTTTTGTAAGAAAAATATCCATATTCAAAACGTAATAATCACTTTAATCTAGCTTGCGCCAACAGTTGTACACGGAAGCAATATGGATTTTTTTCTTACAAAAACGCATCGATTCGCTACAGGATGCCTTTGTTCACCCCCCGGAGCCGTGTGAGACACTCTTTTTTTATGGATGGATTTGCTTTTTATTTAACTTCTTTTGGACTGATGCATGCAACACCCGCTGAGTGGCATTAAACAGCTTGAAAGATCAAAGACAATTTTTAATATAACTCCAACTGGATTCGTCTGAAAGAAGAAAGTCATATACACCTAGGATGACTTGAGGGTGAGTAATTTATGGGCTAATTCTCATTTTTCGGTGAACTAACCCTTTAACCCAGAAACAATGTCTAGCATTTCCCAGAGCGCTCTTTAATTTCCTTAATGTCTAAGAGAAACAACCTAAACGCTGATGTATTCTGCAGTGTGTTAAATTCTTAACCTTTCATTAATCCCTGAATGTTCAACACTTCTGATGTCCTACAGGTTCACACATTTAGTACTTGAATGACTATTTTTAATGGCTTAAAGTCACACTAGTTACCAAACACTTAAGACACTTAGCACATCTAAACACTTAACAATAAAGTTTAATGTTAGACTTCTATTCTTTAGAGATAAGAATATGTGATTTCAAAATACCTCACTTGATGTACGCCGCTGGCCAGAAGTTTGGAATGATTCATATTTTTTGTTTTTGAAAGTCTCTTCTGTTCACCAAGGCTGCATTTATTTAATCAAAAATACAGTAAAAACAGTAATATTGTGAAATATTATTACATTTTATTACATTTATTACATGTTTTCATATATTGTAACATTTTAATTAACAGCTTATAGAAAATATAATAAATATGTAATATTGTGCATATATTTAGCTAGTTTATGGACATTGAATGGCTTTCCTGAGGTAAATGTAGCATTACATTGTTTACAAGTTGTATTATAGACGTCTTTATGCGTTAGAAACACTGGTTGAGATTAGTTCATAAAAGATTGCAAGATCTTGAGATTTAAGAAATGATATCAGTTCATCAATACGAGTATCAATTAAAACTGAGAAATCCATAAGCCAAAATATTGATACATCAGTAGGGATGCACCGAAATGAAAATTCTTGGCCGAAGCCGAAACCGAACAAAATGAATTACTGGGCCGAATACCGAACACGGTTTTTCAATTTTTTTCCTCCATGTATTTTGCCAATTTTTTTCACCATTGCATAAATTAAATAGCCAAACTTTTTACTGTTTTGTCTTACTTTTCAAATCAAAAATCAATTAAAAAAACAACAATTTAAAAATATTTAACACTGAACATTTTTTAACATTCTAGCAGACATTATACCAACAAAGCACAATTTAACTTAAAATTAATAAGTTAGTAAAATAATATCCATCAGGGGCCATCAGACCCCCTTCTTGAATCAGGCATGTATTTTTTTTTACTGTACAAATAAAAGCAGCCTTGCTGAGCAGAAGAGGACAACAGATTTATAAATGAGTCTCATTACGAATACGTCGCACGTATCGCATTGTCACGTGCCTTGTAAAAAAAAATTCATAAAAATGTGACTGAGCAACTGACGGGTAACACAGTTTCAGCGTAGATTTTCCTCGCGCTTTG